TGACAGTTTTTTGTGGTTAGAATGGGATTAGAGTATATCAAATTGTCGTGTCCAACTAGATTGCTTGGTACAATGACAGTTGTCAGTGGTTAGAATGAGACTAGAACATACCAAACTATCGTGTCTAACTAGCTAGCAGATAGCTTGGTACAATGACAGTTGTCTGTGGTTAGAATGAGACTAGAGCATACCAAACTATCGTGTCCAACTAGCTAGCAGATTGCTTGGTACAATGACAGTTGTCAGTGGTTAGAATGAGACTAGAACATACCAAACTATCGTGTCTAACTAGCTAGTAGATTGCTTGGTACATTGACAGTTGTCAGTGGTTAGAATGAGACTAGAACATACCAAACTATCGTGTCCAACTAGCTAGTAGATTGCTTGGTACAATGACAGTTGTCAGTGGTTAGAATGAGACTAGAACATACCAACTATCGTGTCTAACTAGCTAGCAGATTGATTCTTGCAATGACAGTTTTCTGTTTTTAGAATGGGACTAGAGCATATCAAATTGCCGTGTCTAACTAGTTAGCAGATTGCTTGGTACAGTGACAGTTTTTTGTGGTTAGAATGGGATTAGAGTATATCAAATTGTCGTGTCCAACTAGATTGCTTGGTACAATGGCAGTTATCTGTTTTCAGAATGGGACTAGAGCATACCAAACTATCGTGTCTAACTAGCTAGCAGATTGCTTGGTACAATGACAGTTGTCAGTGGTTAGAATGAGACTAGAACATACCAAACTATCGCGTCTAACTAGCTAGCAGATTGCTTGGTACAATGACAGATGTCTGTATTCAGAATGAGACTAGAACATACCAAACTATCGTGTCCAACTAGCTAGCAGATTGCTTGGTACAATGACAGTTGTCAGTGGTTAGAATGAGACTAGAACATACCAAACTATCGTGTCCAACTAGCTAGTAGATTGCTTGGTACAATGACAGTTGTCAGTGGTTAGAATGAGACTAGAACATACCAACTATCGTGTCTAACTAGCTAGCAGATTGATTGGTGCAATGACAGTTTTCTGTGGTTAGAATGGGACTAGAGAATATCAAATTGCCGTGTCCAACTAGCTAGCAGATTGCTTGGTACAATGACAGTTTTCTGTGGTTAGAATGGGACTAGAGCATATCAAATTGTCGTGTCCAACTAGCTAGCAGATTGCTTGGTACAATAACAGTTGTCTGTGGTGAGAATGGGATTAGAGCATATCAAATTGTCGTGTCCAACTAGCTAGCAGATTGCTTGGTACAGTGACAGTTTTTTGTGGTTAGAATGGGACTAGAGAATATCAAATTGTCGTGTCCAACTAGCTAGCAGATTGCTTGGTACAATGGCAGTTATCTGTTTTCAGAATGGGACTAGAGCATATCAAATTGTCGTGTCTAACTAGCTAGCAGATTGCTTGGTACGGTGACAGTTTTTTGTGGTTAGAATGGGATTAGAGCATATCAAATTGTCGTGCCCAACTAGCTAGCAGATTGCTTGGTACAATGACAGTTTTCTTTGGTTGGAATGGGACTAGAGTATATCAAATTGTCGTGTCCAACTAGCTTGCAGATTGCTTGGTACAATGACAGATTTCTTTGGTTAGAATGGGACTAGAGAATATCAAATTGCCGTGTCCAACTAGCTAGCAGATTGCTTGGTACAATGGCAGTTATCTGTTTTCAGAATGGGACTAGAGCATACCAAACTATCGTGTCTAACTAGCTAGCAGATTACTTGGTACAATGACAGTTTTTTGTGGTTAGAATGAGACTAGAACATACCAAACTATCATGTCTAACTAGCTAGCAGATTGCTTGGTACAATGACAGTTGTCTGTATTCAGAATGGGACTAGAACATACCAAACTATCGTGTCCAACTAGCTAGTAGATTGCTTGGTACAATGACAGTTGTCAGTGGTTAGAATGAGACTAGAACATACCAAACTATCGTGCCTAACTAGCTAGCAGATAGCTTGGTACAATGACAGTTGTCTGTGGTTAGAATGGGACTAGAGCATACCAAACTATCGTGTCTAACTAGCTAGCAGATTGCTTGGTACAATGACAGTTGTCAGTGGTTAGAATGAGACTAGAACATACCAAACTATTGTGTCCAACTAGCTAGTAGATTGCTTGGTACAATGACAGTTGTCAGTGGTTAGAATGAGACTAGAACATACCAACTATCGTGTCTAACTAGCTAGCAGATTAATTGGTGCAATGACAGTTTTCTGTGGATAGAATGGGACTAGAGAATATCAAATTGCCGTGTCCAACTAGCTAGCAGATTGCTTGGTACAATGACAATTTTCTGTGGTTAGAATGGGATTAGAGCATATCAAA